TTTTTAACCCTAAACCACACCTAATGGGTTGTCTCTCCAAAACTGGACAGGTAGGATAGCAGAGTTTGAAATCAAAGCCAAATACTTGTGTGACAAGTACAATTTCGCCCATGTGAGCAATGTAAACGGAAATGCATTTTTTTCTTTGTGATATTTGTTCTGACAGAAGGAGATTTGTTTCACGCAGATGTCTTCTGTGAACAAAGACACTTGACAAGAGTGGATGCCAAGCCCGAAAACGTCAATTAGCACTTGCTGATGAGAGATATGCGTAAACAAGAAGCAAAATCACATGCTATTTTTGAGCTACTATGTTGGGACACAGACACACCTGTCCTAATATACCCAAGTCACACGGTTTGCTGACTAACACAAATCACTTCAAAGAATTAAAAGAGACTTTAACCTCTGATAACCCTGAGGGATCCCTGGAAATGTCTGTCCTAAACACTGAATGATAGTATTGACTGATTAGTTACACAATGACAGATTTTCCAGACGGACATGGACTCAATTTGGGTACAGTTAGTTTTATAGTCGCACATTCGTTCTTTTTTGGACCCGTGACAAGCTACTTTGAATATTAGGGCTGAAATTGTATGCAAGTACGACTTCATAACATAATTAGCACTGTTTAATTGACTGTGAACAATGCAGTACTTTGATATTCATGTGCTGCTAATACAAATATCCTATTTAGCATTTTCAAAGAATACTTTTCTGAAATTATATTTGGTAGGTGAAAGTCCAAATGTGCGAATATTAAACCAAATTCACCTCGGTATTGACTCACTGATACAAATGACATGTTGTGCATATTAAAGTCACAAAATAACCCAAAATATATTTGAATAAATATTAATAGAGTGACTTTATACATAAAAACTGATCAGGAAGTTCAGTTAATTGAAGTAAAGTTGGTTTTATTTTCGCACATTCTGACCTCCTTAATAATATACTTTCAGAAATGTGTTATTTGCGAATTCTAAATAGTGAAATCATATTAGCAGACGATGACAATCAAAGTACAACATTGTTCAGAAACAAATAGTGCTAATGTGGATTTGAAGTCATATTTGCATGCTAATTCCGAACATTAAAAAGTACCATGGTAAACATTAACGTTATAGGGAGAATGTCAAAAGTTGTCACTGAACGAAAGTGCTAATATAAAACTTCACCTCAGTGTTCGGTTATTAACATCGAAATGATCATTTTAAATGCGGTATGTGGATACTCAAACACTAGTATTATCATAAATTTCACTATATTTTTGCCAACATAAAAAACATCCGTGACGTCACGCATATTTCTATATTTTAGTATTCAAGCTCGCGCTAGATGCCTTCACATCCTTAGTACACCACATACAAATGGAAACAGAATGTAAAGACTAATATAAATAAATATAAAGAATATCTTAAACGTGTGTATCAAAATATATATCTAAACACCGAGTAACCCGTTAACACACACTAGCATCCTTGACTTCCGCTGACCTAATCCTGGGTTTTCGATTTCAGGCTAACCTAGCGGAGCCCCAGTTACTTCCCTAGACAAAGCGATAGACGTACCTTTTTAATCGATGAGGCTTTTGATCCGAACTGTAATAAATGATATATAATAATCACACCACCATGGAAAAGTGAAAATGACTTCGTCGAGCAGGATTCGCCCCCGGCCGGTTCCTGAAGCTCACAAGTGTGACGTGTTACTACAACACTCGGAGCGCCGCGATTGGACGCCTACGTCTGGCGTCACGAGAACGTTCCTCCGCAGGGTTGAATTTCTGTGCGTGCATGCGTAGGTTTCCAATCTTGCAGCGTTTGATGCAAATGTGTTCTGCGTAAACACCTGTAAGCTCGAATTTTTCACATACTTTCAGGCAAAGAGCAAAACAATGTTTTGAATAGCAACAGTTGTTTGTTAAATAGCAACGTATTTTATTACTGATTATTATATTATATTATATTATATTATATTATATTATATTATATTATATTATATTATATTATTCATTCCTTCATTTTCTTTTCGGCTTAGTCCCTTTATTAATGGGTCGCCACAGTGGCACGAACCGACAACTTATCCAGCATATGTTTTACGCAGTGAATGCCCTTCCTGCCGCAACCCATCATATTATATTATATTATATTATATTATATTATATTATATTATATTATATTATATTATATTATATTATATTATATTATATTATATTATATTAAATTATCAGGCTGGAGTTTGCATGTTCTCCCTGCCTTAGGAGAGGGTTTCCTCTGGGTGCTCCGGTTTCCCCCACAGTCCAAAGACATGCGGTACAGGTGAATTGGGCGGGCTAAATTGTCCGTAGTGTATGAGTGTGTGTGTGAATGTGTGTGTGGATGTTTCCCAGAGATGGGTTGCGGCTGAAAGGGTAAAAACTTGCTGGATAAGTTGGCGGTTCATTCTGCTGTGACAACCCCGGATTAATAAATGGACTAAGCCGAGAAGAAAATGAATGAATGAATGAATATTATCAGGCCTAATTATATTATAACAAATAATATTATAATGTATTAATGTAAATAATAAAAACATACCTGTACAGTTGACTAACAAGTTAAAATGACTTTTGTTTATAAATACTGTATATAAATACTGCAAACCAATTTTTTAAACAATTTATGACTTTAAATGTTAAGTTTTACAGATCATTGTAGCCTATACACTTTGTACAGCTGCATTTTGTTTTGTATTTTGTAATTTATGGTTTCATCCAGGATCAAAAATGAGTAATTATCCTACTCTAAAATCTAGAAAAAGAAGAAGAAAAAAATGATTTAGCCCACATCAAAATATAGCTAATGAGAGCTGTAGACTTGTTACCAATTCATAACTCCTTAATTTTAGCACACACCCACATGGTTCTTTAAAAGACTATGGTAATTTGTAGTAAATAGTGCTTTTGAACTTATATTAGTATTTTTTTCGTTTGTAGAAGGCTAGTATCAGGCTTCTAAACTTCTAAAAAATGACTATGGTAATTTGTAGTAAATTACCATAGTGTTTTTGAACCATAGAAAAGTTTATTATACTGCATATATTAGTATTTAAGCAGTTGTTATTTGTGGAATGTAAGTATCTTATGCTTCTAAATATCTAAAAATTACTATGATAAATAAATAGTCTACTATTAGAATCATAGAAACGTGTATCTGCATATATAAGCATTTAAGCCTCTTTTTTCATTTGTAGAATGCTATCATAATAGTAAATAGCTAGTATAGTGTTTTTGAACAACAGAAAAGTTTAATATACTGCATATATTAGTATTTTTTTTCTTTTGTAGGAGGCTAGTATCATATATAAACTTCTAAAAAACGACTATGGTAATTTGTAGTCAATATATTGCTTTTAAACCATAGAAAAGTTTATTATACTGTATATATAATAGAAAGTTTATTATACCATATATATATATATATATATATATATATATATATATACACACACACACACACACACACACACACTAGATATATAGCTAGTATCATATGTTTTTAAAATGACAACGGTAATTTGTAGTAAATAGCCTACTATAGTGTTTTAAACCATATAAATGTTTATTAAATATATTAGTATTTAAGCAGTTTAATAGGCTAGTGTTATATGCTTCTATGAATGACTATGGCAATTTGTAGTAAGTAGCTACTATAGTGTTTTTGAACAATAGAAAAGTTTATTATACTGTATATATTAGCATTTAAGAATTTTTTCCCCATTAGTAGAACACTAGTATCATATGCTTCTGAAAAATGACAATGGCAATTGGTAGTAAAAAGCTATAGTGTTTTTGAACCATATAAATGTTTATTAAACTGCATATATCAGTATTTAAGAAAATTTTTTTTCATTTGCAGAAGGCGAATATCACATGCTTCTAATATGATAATTTGTAGGAAATAGCTATAGTGTTCTAACCAATAGAAGAGTTTATTATACTGCATATATCAATATTTAGGAGGATCTTTTTTCATTTGTAGAATGCTATCATGCTTCTTAACTTCTAAAAATTGACTAATTTGTAGTAAATATAGTGCTTTTAAACCATAGAAAAGTTTATTATACTGCATATATCAGTAATGTTTTTTTCTTTAGAAATAGTAAATGATAGTAAATCATTAGTAGAGAGCTTATATCTATGCTTCTAATAAACTTGTATTGTAATTGGTAGTAAATAGATTATTATAGTGTTTTTGAACCAAAAACGTTTATTATACTGCCTATATTAGTTAGCGTTTTTTTTTATTTGTAGAATGTTAGTATCTTATGGTTCTAAACATCAAAAAATGACTATGATAATTCTATGGACTCTATGGACGTCTGTTTGAATAGGGTTGGAGCTAAACTATGCAGGGCACTGGCACTCCAGGATCAAGTTTGCCCACACCTGGGCTAGTATCACATACTTCTAAACTTCTATAAATGACTATGGTAATTTGTAGTAAATAGCCTATTATAGTGTTTTTGAACCATAGAAAAGTTCATTACACTGCATATATTAGTATTTAAGCCTCTTTTTTCATTTGTAGAAGGCTAGTATCATATACTACTAAACTTCTAATAATGACTATAGTAATTTGTAGTAAATAGCGTTGTGTTTTTGAAATAGAATAGTTTATTAAACTGCATATAAAGAGACTAAGCCGAAAAGAAAATGAATGAATGAATGAATGAATGAATGAATGAATGAATATTAGCCTACCTAGTATTTAGACATTTTTTTCTGGTGTAGAAGACTGTGTTAACGAGTCAATAGATGGCGCTAGATACAAACTTAAATGGAACTTGAACAACAGCATCACCTCTCGGCCACTCGCGCACACAAACATGCACGACACACACAAACGGAGATAGAGAGAGAGAGAGAGAGAGAGAGAGAGAGAGAGAGAGAGAGAGAGAGAGAGAGAGAGAGAGAGAGAGAGAATGAATTTACCCATTCGCTGCAGTCACGCTCATTTCTCCGGAGCTCGGGCTGAGGATGCTGCCGTCTCTCCTCCATATCCACGAGGATGCAGGAGCGCGCAGAGGCGGACGGGGGCGAGCGCACCGGGCCGCCTAAACCCACCCACATCTCACCGGCGATCATACACCGTCACTTTTCCAAACTTACAAGAACTATGCACGGGAGCCGGTGCTGAACAAATTGGGCGGACTCGCTCTATATGCCGGCCTTCCTTCTGCTCATCAGCTGTTGCTGCTTTGGGAAAAGTCGAGGCGACTCCCACTGTAAGGGCATCGGATACGAGCATCTCTACACGATGCGTCCTCAGTCTCCCTGACTCCTCCTGACACTGCCTGCCTGCCTCATTAATATTTGATCTGGTACCACAGCAGCAGAAGCAGCAGCAGCAGCTCGCCTCTTCTAATGGAGAATTCTCCACAAGCACAGCCTGGATCCAAGGCGCCGGAAAGTCCAGCAGAAGACATCGCCAACCTCACGGACGAAGAGCTCCTCCAATGGAGCAAAGAGGAGCTGGTGCAGCGGCTCCGGAGGTGTGAAGCCGATAAAATGAGCGTCATTCTGGATCACAGTAATCTGATTCGGGAGGTGAACCGCAGCCTGCAGCTGCATCTGAACGAGATCCGGGGGCTGAAGGTGAGCAGATGAGATCATGGGCGTCTGGAGCACACCTGCGCTCTCCGAGGAGGCGCCACAAGCTCTTGGGTGCACATTATTCATCCTGTAGGAATAACGCCTACTACTGTTGTCTTATGTGCCTGTTTTTTTATTTAAAGCTTCCAAACTTGGCAAGAAGCACACACATTAGTGGCATTGTTTTGATACCAGAACCACATTTTCGTTTTTTTTTATTTATTTTTTTTATATATTGCAGTGTTAAGACACCTGTTGTGTATGAATGTGACCTTTTTCTAATTTTAATATTGAATGTTGCAGAATATTTTTACTCTAAATGATCTAGGAAGACATTATCACAAATGTATTTTTAAACCAGCTGATATTTTTGTCTGTAAAATGCAAATTTGGATTTTTCACATATTTATTTACCTTAAAGGGATAGTTCACCCAAATATTACAATCTACTTACTATTTACTCATCTTTGAGTGGTTTCAAACCATGCATCCATACCAAACCATCATGAGTTTCTTTATTCTGTTGAACACAAAAGAATATATTTTGAAGAAAGCTGAAAACCGTTAACCAATGACTTCCATAGTAGCAAAAACAAATACTATAGAAGTCAAGGGTTACAGGTTTTCAAAATTTTTCTTTTGTGTTCAGAGGTAGAAACATTTGAGTGAACAAGTGAACAATAAATAAATAATGTCAGAATTGACATTTTTGGGAGAACTATCCCTTTAAGAACATGTTTTTAGAAAAAAGATAAGATATTTTAAGTTTTATAATAATAGTCCATACATCTTTCACAATACATCAGTCATACAATATAAGTTGTCATTTGCTACAAATATTTCAATGCTCTGAATGTTTAATCACATAGCAAAATTTCTCTGGCCCAGATTTGGCCCACACAATCAGAATTACAGTGCATGACTGGACCAATTCTGGCTATCAGACAAGGGCCAAACATGGACCATATCTGGGTCAAGTCTTAGCCAAATTAATGAACTGGGCCAAATACACAACTAGTTTAAACTACTTAATTAAAATGAGCTGAAACAACACAATTTTTGAGATTTCATTTGGGACAACTTAATTTTTTTTATGTTCAATCCACATAATTTTATTAGAAGTGTCAAGTTAACTTAATCGATTTGTGTTAGGACAACACGAATGAATTGTGTGGAACCCTGCATTTTTTACAGTGTATGTTGGTGTGTCACGACTGCAATGAAATTCATAAACCCAGGAAGCATTGCGCTTTGGGCACGTTTTGAATGTTTTTTTTTTTGGAAGTGAACTGATTGGTAGATTTTTTCTTTACCCAAATCATTTAAATGTATTTAAAATGTGGGTCGAAAAAGACTAAACCTATGTGACCCACATTCATTCATTCATTCATTCATTCATTCATTCATTCATTCATTCATTCATTCTTTAGTTCGTTCCTTCCTTCCTTCCTTCCTTCCTTCCTTCCTTCCTTCATTCATTCATTCGTTCATTTGTTCATTCATTCATTCATTTTCTTTTCGGCTCAGTGCCTTTATTAATCTGGGGTCGCCACAGCATAATAAACCGCCAACTTATCCAGCATATGTTTTACGCAGCGGATGCCCTTCCAGCTGCAACCCATCACTGGAAAACATCCATACACACTCATTCAAACACATACACTAGACAATCTAGCTAACCCAATTCACCTAAACCACATGCTTTTGGACTTAGGGAAACCGGAGCACCCAGAGGAAACCCACGCCAGCACGGGGAGAACATGCAAACTCCACGTGGCCCACATATACATTTTTAAAATCTGGACCAAATACTACATGTGACATCTGGCCCATGTCTTGTGTGTGGCCTTAAAGACGGCGCCACCTCTGCCAAACCCGGGTTATGTTTGGCCCACATGCTGTATGCCAGTGCAGGATGAATGTCTGCTGTGCCAGCTTTATGCCAAAAGTGGGCCAGAATGCTTTGCTACCTGGGTGGTTTATCAACTTCAATCATCAGTGTTGATGCATCATGCCAAGTTTGATATCATTGAAGCCAAATGTCATTGGTTCGCACATGTGTCTGATGAACTATTGCTTTAATTGAACTCTTTATGTCAGGTAGATGTTTGCCAAGCTCGTCACCTAAGAAAATCACAGCTTTAGGGTATGTTTACATGCCAATAATTAACCAAAGGTGGAAATGATTTTTTATTTGCATTAATGCTTATAATTTAGCTTAGGTTAAATATTAAAATACTGTCAAAATGATCTGTGAGATCTATTAAAATCACATTAATCTCCATCATGGCAGACCAGTAGTTGGCGATTTCACAATGTTTCAAGAGTTCACACTTAGCTGATAATCGATAAAGCGTATTTGGCATGCTGTCCCAGGAGAGAGCCCTGAGCTCGTAATATCCTCGAGCCCGGGGCTCCCTCCCGTTAGAAGGGCGAGAGGGGAGTTCGAGGTCAGGTAGGTCTCGAAAACTCCCCTGCTTGTCACCGTGAGAAGTGTGAACTGAGGTTGTATTGGGTGATAATTTGCTTTAGTCGATTTGGCTATGGTTCATGTTTTGGACGGTGGGAGGAAACCGGGGAACCCGGGGGAAACCCACGCGAACACGGGGAGATCATGCAAACTCCGCACAGAAACACCGACCGGCCCGAAAGGTTGGACCGGTGGTGTTCTTGCTGTGAGGCAACAGTGCTAGCCACTGGGCCACCGTGTCGCCCAATCAGGAAAGGAGGAGGATGAAGGGGTGGAAAGGGGGGAGGTTCAAGACGAAGATAACTAGAGTGATAAACTCAGGTTATTTATAATGCTTCCGTAATCATCTAATGGGGCTGATTACGGAGCTAATAAGGAGCCAGCCGTGTTGATTATAAGCACGTGATCCTCTCGAAATTAGTTTATGAATAAACCACACAAAGAAGAATTTTGTGCCTGCACACTTTTAGTTTCGTAGCACCCCATTGTTGTTTTGATTGTCAAATACTCAAACATGCCTTTAGGATATAAAGTGATACAAATGTGCACCATTTTCCTAAAACAAAAGTTGCATCCCAAATGACATCCTTTTGCATGATAATATGAAGATGTATTACTTACTGATGTTGAAGCACTTCCAGGTCATCAGAGATGTAATGACAGGACAGAATATGTGCTGTTAAATGAGCTCTAGTACAGCCTATGCAAAAAACCAAGGCAGTATGTTCAGCCAGTGGCGAGGCAGTGGCGCAGTAGGTAGTGCTGTTGCCTCACAGCAAGAAGGTCGCTGGTTTGAACCTCGGTTCAGTTAGTGTTTCTGTGTGGAGTTTGCATGTTCTCCCTGCCTTCGCGTGGGTTTCCTCCGGGTGCTCCGATTTCAGTCCAAAGACATGTGGTACAGGTGAATTGGGTAAGCTAAATTGTCCGTGGTGTATGAGTGTGTGTAAATGTGTGTGTGGATGTTTCCCAGTGATGGGTTGCAGCTGGAAGGGCATCCGCTGCGTAAAAACTTGCTGGATAAGTTGGCGGTTGATTCCACTGTGGCGACCCCGGATTAATAAAGGGACTAAGCCGACAAGAAAATGAATGAATGAATGTTCAGCCAGTCTTCTTTACAATCTTTCACGTAAGAATGTATTTGACTATTAGTTTTACCTGTAAAAGTGTGTGTGGAGTTTTTTATGGTCATTTGCAGTACTGTATTTAGATGCACGGTAACTGTTTATTTCCCAGAATTCACTGGAAAATCTCCAGTAACATACTGTAAACCATGTACTGTACACAGCATGGATATGTTAAAAATACATTATATTTAAACTGTAAAAACAACAATATATACAGTTACACAATGTATGTAGCTTGTACAGTAAGAAACTGTCGAGAAATGCAATATAATACTGTGAAAACAGAAATGGTTTACAGTGTACACTATGCACTTATAAACTGTGTAGTGAATGTGATTAGTGTCATTCCAAATGGAACACTAATGTTTTTTCCCAGTCGATGTTTAACAGTTGTGGTACCTGTCATGAGTACAACCACGTTCACATTCATCAGGAGGTGGCAGAAGAATTTTGAGTTTAGAATTTTGCTTTCGCAATCCAAAACAAATGGTGCAATAAATCCAACCATATCATCGATAGCTCCTGCCCTCCCGCTATGTCAGTTGAAAAAGGTCATTTCCATTGTGATTGCACTGCTACTAACACTATTTAAACTACAAAATGGCATAGAATAGTGCATAAGTATGCAATTTGGGATGTACCCTGTGTTTTTGTACATGATATATATCCAATGACGCAGTGGTGCAGTAGGTAGTGCTGTTGCCTCACTGCAAGAAGGTCGCTGGTTCGAGCCTCTGGGTCAGTTGGCGTTTCTGTGTGGAGTTTGCATGTTCTCCTTGCATTCGCGTGGGTTTGCTCTGGTTTCCCCCACCGGCTAAAGACATGCGGTACAGGTGAATTGGTTAGGCTAAATTGTCCATAGTGTATATGTGTGAATGAGAGTGTATGGATGTTTGCCATAGATGGGTTGCAGCTGGAAGGGCATCTGCTGCATAAAAAAAAAATATATATATACTGGATAAGTTGGCGGGTTATTCCGCTGTGTCGACCCCAGATTAATAAAGGGACTAAGCCGGAAAAAAATGAATGAATGAATGAATGAATGATATACATCCAAATGAAACTGTCCTGAAATGAGGGAAACAGTAGGGTGGTGAATGAATCCATCTTTGGGAATGGGAATGGATTGGATTATTGGAAGATGGGCGTTACCAACAAAATGAAAGAAGATTAATGAATGGTTGAAAGCAGGGCAGAGTCAAGACATCCCATGTGACCAGAAATAAAGACAAGTCATTTCAAGGGAGGAGGAAAGGTTATGGTATTTGATTAAAGATTATGAGGGCACGGTGGTGCAGTGGGTAGTACTGTCGCCTCACAGCAAAAAGGTTGCTGGTTTGAGCTCTGATTGGATCAGTTGGCATTTCTTTGTGGAGTTTGCATGTTCTCCCCGTGTTCACGTGGGTTTCCTCTGTGTGCTAGTAGAACTAAAGACATGTGCTATAGATGAATTGGGTAAGCAAAATTTTCTGTAGTGTATGTGTGTGTGTCCTGGTCCTTAAGGTTGGGGGTTGAGCATTGGGCTAACGACCCAACTCATAAAAATGAGATGTTACGAAACACCATGGTGCAGCTAAATATCAACTTTGATATAAACAGCCCTGGGCGTAAGTAAGTAATATACACAGTATATAACATACAAAGAGTAAATTTTGATTTCATGCTGACTTTAAACAAGGCCCTCTATTTAGTATAATTAGTGTAGCTTTAAAATGGCCGATTGGCCAACTACACCTTACAATTATTAAAAATTGATAATACTATTTGTTTTCCTTTTGGTGAAGGAGGTGAACCAGAAGCTGCAGGATGATAATCGGGAACTAAGAGACCTGTGCTGTTTCCTGGATGATGACCGGCAGAAGGGCAAGCGAGTGTCTCGTGAGTGGCAGCGTCTGGGTCGTTTCAGCGCCAGCGTCATGCGTAAAGAGGTGGCCCTGTACCTTCAGAAGCTAACAGAACTAGAACGCAAGCAGGAGGACGTCATCCGGGAGAACCTGGAGCTTCGGGAACTTTGTCTGCTGATAGATGAAGATAAAGGAGGAGGCGGAGTGGAAGGAGTTCAAAGTGGGACGGGAACCATTGGATGTCGCAATTCCATCGACAGCCAAAGTGGGCTCCTGGTACCTGGTTTGATGCGGGACGTGGGAGATGGGAGTAGCACCTCTAGTGCAGGAAGTGCAGACAGCAGCTCGGAGCACCCACACCATAAGCAGCCACAGCCACCATCTAGCACAGGAACTGGGAATAAAAGTCCAGATATCCAGAAGTCTCGTTCTTTGAAAAGAGGGGAAGGTGATCATGGGGAAATCTCCAGCCCTGACCCTCCTGTCCGGCACAGAAGCACAAGCCTGGAGTATCCCTTCGTTCTGCCCCAGCCCTGCCGACCTCGCTGTGGCTCCATATCTGTGCCTGATCATCGGCTGATAAGAGGGCTGAGTCCAGAAAAGTATGGTCGATCCCTAGGCCATCGGAGTCCTGAGACTCATCCAAAGCACCATCTGGCTCCAGGACAGCCCATGAGTCCTGAGCTGTACATCCAGAGGCACAGGGGCAGCTTAGGAAGTGGGCCTGGGAGTCCAGAGCCAAGACACTTGCTGCTAGGATCAGCAGAGCTCCACCATGAGAAAAGCAAGCTTGGAGGAAGTAGTCCTGAGATGTTGAGGCACCAGTACAGCATGAGTCCTGAGCACGGGAAGTTTGGCAGCCCTGGAAGAGAGACGTCACCACGAAGACTTGCTGGAGATGAGCTGTCCCCACACCATCGGAGCCTTTACAATGGTGTCAATGGTGGGTCCGACTTGCTAAATTATACATACATGAAAAACACTGATGGTGTGCTTGTATGCCAGAGAAATGATCATCCTTTACTGTTGTCGATCGCATTTTGACCTAGAGAGGTTGGGGTATGGTATTTACATCAATAATCAAATTTACTTTCATTATACCTACTATTTAAATAGGTAATATATTGAACTATATTGAAGTCTGTGACTGTTGTTGTGGACTTGAATTGAATTGACTTCCAATTCAGTTCCCTATGGTAAATAGAAATTTCAAATGGCAGAAAATGGTCATAACTACTTCCTCTACAAACAGCTGTGTTTATATCTATAAATAAAATAATATAGTTACCAAATACCAGTTTGCAACATCAAGCAGCATAATGAGCTGTTCTTATGGCAAAAAAAATCAATGGAAGTGAATGAGACTGGAAGTCTTGAGCCAAAAAGATGCCAATGGCTGCGCCTGTTCATGTGTGAAGAATAAGGTCAATGAGAAACAAAGAATATTAAGAGGTCTGATCACAACGTTCTCATTTTTATGCCATCATTTTCTGAGTGAGGTAGTCTCGGCTCGATTGAAACGAACCCTGGAGCGGTTCGATTGCAGTGAGAAAGTGATCCGATCCGAGCGCAGTTATATCACAGTGTGTTATGGATATGTAATAGGCATACGGCTATATGAAGAGAGAATTATGAGTAGGGCGGGAAGTTTCGTGAGTCTTCGGATGCCCGCAAACGAGTGAGGATCTCCCGTTAATCTCGCATCTCCCTCCCGGTCCTCAAATAGGCATCGTCGCGCACCCTTCTCACCCCTCCCCACCGCATCTCTCCTCAGACACGTCGCGCGTGCACCTTGTCAATCACCACCAAACCACCACCTCTCCTGACAGCTGAGCAGGATGCTGCAAAATAAACCCTGACACTAATGTGAGGAGAGTTTACTCACACGTGACTTGTTTTAGCTCCGATTAGAAACTTTGCAGTGTGAAAGCGAACCGCTCCAAGAGCAAAGAGTAACAATGTAACATTTGTAATCTCAGTTTCGGAACAACTGAATCGATTCACTGGTGTGAAAGCACCCTAAAAGTCAAGTTATTATTTGTTGTTCCTAAAACTTGGATAGGCAACAAGACTTTTGTCAGGTAGTGTGAATGTGACCTACCACATCAGTTGCGTCACTTCACTGCTATTCGTGATTTCTCCCACATCCTGATAGGATAGCAAAGTGTTCATTGATTGTACACTGAATGAGCAATATTGGCACAAGTACTAGGTTGAGGTACTTTTCACCCACAGTTTTTGTACTCTGTTTTTTTCACACCACCAGTAGGCGTTTTTGCTGCTTTATTGAACCAAAACTGATAGCTTATAAGATGTGCTGACTGTGTAAAATCTCACATTCTTAAATAAACACAGAGAGATGCGCGTCACTCCGTTTATGAGAAATGGAGAAAATCAAAGGCGCTAGGCAGGGATGTGCATATCCCACAGCTGCAGATAACGATTTCTACTGGAGAACATGCTGAGTAGCCTATAGTTCACACCGTCCATAAAACACTCACCTCAAGGTGAAAGATGTGACTCACTTTGCATTCATTAGCTTCAAGAAATGCCCCCTTAAGATGAAATAAGCACCGTGAAAGATCAGATTGATCTCCTGATTTAATAGCATGGAACTTGCTAGAACTCCTGAATCTTAACAGTGTTGAATTAATTTTTACGGATTTGTTACGTGCATGGTGGCACCTCTCCGGTGGCAAACCAACAATCTCTCGACTTGACAAGGTCAAAATGAAATCAATAATAACCGTTGAAAGATATTAGCTTTACAAATTGCGAAGCCCCTCAAGAATGCCTTCCAGCTAAGCACTAACAATAAAAGGTAATTGCTAACAGGATGACTGCTGTTGAGGGGATGCTGTGCTTTCAGCATTGTCCTGCATGTCTGTAAGGAAGCTGTAGACATTTGTCACTGTCAGAGCCTGTTCTGCTGTTGGTCCCAAGAGGAAAACTGCATGTCCACTGACCCTATAGACACTCCCAGATCATTCGCATCCTCCCCAATGCTGCTCTGAAATGCTGTGTGGTGTTGATGAACTAACAAGGTGTGTAGAGTATTGGGTTTACCCAAATAATGAAGAATGTCTGTGTCAGCTATACTAAATAGGGCAAATTAGCACAGAAATACAATCCCATAAAATCACTGAAGAGTGGAAGTTTTTTGTAATTAACGAACAGATCCAGAGCAGCTCATTTTCAAAGCGCAAATTAGATTGCAAACTAACAGAACCAGTGATGATACTGCATATTATATTCTAGAAACACCAGGTGAAAAATAACTTAAGACATTCTTTCTGGGCATTAATTAATGCCACAAGAACCAGTAAATATACAATCGTGAACCACAAATGCTCTCCTCGCATAAGATTGGAGTCTGAACAATAAGATTGGAGTCTAAACAATAAGATTCGAGTCTGAACAAATGACTATGATATAAGGTTCACTTAAAAATTCACCTTGACCACTATTTTTCTACATTAAAGTTTCTACAATACGCTAAAAGAGGGTTGAAAGTTGTTATCAATACTAGCTTTGAAGGGGTCATGTGGTTAGCACATCAGGACCTGATGGAGACCATGTAGGTCGAAACATTGTTACAATAAGTTTTGAGAGCTAAATTGGCAGTGCCGATTGCCTTTTTACTTTTTCCAATGTGTTTGTTTTGATCGAGCACCTGCCTTTAAGAATCTCAGATGTGAACGCATTTCTGTTTTTCATGGATGTATCATTTTTTAAGAATTATTAATATTTATATGAATATATATTCATATAATAATTAGTCATTTTTGATGGTTGGTTGTCGCCACCTATTGGTTAAATAATGTAATTGCTGCCTACAACTATCATTTTTGAGCGTCAAGTTAAAAGCACAAGATGGTGATTGTAGTCTTTACCATAAACATCAGTGCTTATATCTAAACTATAAACTGTTATCCCAGTACTTCTGTCTTATTTGACTGTAACTTCATAACTAACTTAAAAGACTAAAGACTGAATTTCATAGGATTAATAAACGCAAACAAATCACCATCATTTATAATTTACGTTTCGTGGGAAACCCACCACATCCCAAATAACCTACTACAACTCTTCCATCATCATTATATTTTATAGGAAAGCCTAAATGCTTTCATACATGTAATTTGAACAATGTGAGAGTCGACCTCTCTGCGATCGTTACAAATTTAAGATTAATTTACAAGTAAAAAAAAATGTTTTAGTCTAATCTGCAGGTCACGTGTGTTCCGAACCATGGGTTGTGATCTTTACGAATCACAGATCAACAGTGTTTCGTTACACCCCTAATAAAAGTGTCTTATGTCTGTGCGCATGCACAGTAGGGCTGCACGATTCTGGCTAAAATGAGAATTACAATTTTTTTAAATTAAAATCGAGATCACGATCTTCTCACGATCCTGTAGATGTAAAATAAAGGTTAAAATGAGCAGGCTATTATGATTGCTATTCTCAAACATATGGTAATAACAATAATAATATTAGGCATATGTGTAGCACTTTTAGTTTCACTTTCACTGCCAAGTGCGCTCATGTCATGGCTGCCGTCACTTTGAGTTCAGTTTGAAACAAACTGAACGTTATTTACAACGTTATTGCCTGTTATTCACAGCCTATACCGGTTCTGTTTACTAAAGTAGACATCTTTGGCGGGTATGCTCACGTTCCATTGGTAGTAAATAAAAAGTAAGTTAGCTTATGTGATTTCATGGCTGTGAATAAATCTTTAGATTAAGACAGAAATGACATTTTTGGGTAAATTATACCTTATACATACAGTATGTGACACTTTCTACACAGTTTGAAGGTGTGTATGTTGTTGAGCAACATATATAAAATAATGTAAAGACTTGTGCAACCACCTTAACGCTTCTCTCCAGACCTTGAAAAATTAATTAGCTGAATCGTAGAATAGCAGAATTAACATTGCGTGTAGAGTCGAATCGAAATCACAATCTTTTTTTGATTAACCGTGCAGCCCTTTTGTACATGAACAAAACCCTTTTCTGTCATTTTAGTGGGGATGATTGGAAACAATACAACACGATAGTGTGGACAAAAGAGCATTTTTAGACAAAAATTCTGTTTTTAAATTTATCCAGATGTAGACAAAGTGGCTAAATTTGTTGTTTTGCGAGATTGACTTAAATATAAGCTGTTTTTAGACTAAAAAGAAGGTTTGAAACCTGTTTTATTAATGACCACTAATGCGCCATTTTGATTTCTCAGATCTTGCTATTTCGTAAAATTTTTTTGTTTGTTTTCTTCTATACAATAAAAGTTAAAGTTGTTTAACATCTTCTTTTGAGTTTCACTAGAGAAAAATTAATACAGGTTTGGACAACATAGGCTCATTCTGAAAACATAGCCCTATCAACGTTTCTGGAGACTGCGATTTATGTAGCCAGAAGTACGTATGGCTGCATTTCATTTTTTAAACGAACGCTATGGGGTGGTATGATGCCATTCCGTTTCGCGCTTACCAGCTGACCTTTTACCTCAGTATAGACAGCTTTCCCGCTGTAACCAATTTGTCCCGTTGAGGAGTTGACCACAACGATGGGGTTCGAGTCCGGTTAAGAACGATTTCAGAAAGCAGATAAGACAAAAACTACAATTAACAAAATAACAGGGCTTTTGTTTCAGGTTTGCTTTTGAAGTGGGTGGGCGGGTCGATCAATAAAACTGGTTGGGTTTAGGGAAGGAGCAGGGTGGATCAGTCGATTGGTCAGTCAGTCAGTCGGTCAACAGCGGCCTCTGGTGGGCTTACGCGGCAGGTGCAAATAGCACTTGCGGGAGATATTTGAGATCTCAAAAATCATACACAGCGACCTCTCATAGATTCGCGAAAAAAAGCTGCAAAAAAATCGTTCCCCCTGGGAAGTATTTCGCAGTCTCCAGAAATATATATATAGAGGTACGTTTTCA